TTCTCCTCAACTCGTTCCACTGGAAGGAAGGAAAGAAAAAGAAAAGGCGATCGCACTCCTCCCTAGAAGTGACTTCTTTCTCTTCCTCTCTGAAATCGAGCGCCTTAGCAGACACACATTGCTGAAGGAGGAATAGAAGTGACTTCTCTTTCTTCTCTCTCTCTCTCTCTCTTGAGACAAGGAGATCCCTCTGTGTGTGTAAGTGTGTCTCTCTAAGTGCGTGTGTGCCTAAGTGTGAACACTCCCCAGTCGCTGATATGATCACTCCCCGCCCCGCCTTTTCGTTGTTGTTTTTTTTAAAATGTTTTATTTATTAATTTATTTTTTTTCCTCCCCTCCTGAGAGCAGACGTCCGGCAAAACTCCTCTCTGCCTTTCTTTACCCAGGGAGCAGATGGCCCCTCTCTGATTAATACGTCTGCTACGTGCAGAATGTGTTCCCACTCCAACAACCAAAGACACGGAGGTGGAGTCCCGGCCTGGGGACAATCGGTCTCCCCCCCATTCCCAAGCCCGACCCAGACCCCACTCAGCCAATCCAGGGCCAGACAGGGAGGGGCTCTGGATCCTTAACCCCCGAGCCACCCCCTCCCCTCCCCTCCCAAAGCTCAAAAGTTCACGGCTGGAACCATTTGCACGGAAGGAGGAGGAGAAAGGAGGACAGCAGGCGGGTCCGGAATTGGCCAGACTGACCAGCCAAGGAGAGCCCTCCAAAGGGGGCGTGGCCTCCAAAGGGGGCGTGGCCTCCGCCATTGAGGAATCCTGCCCCGGCATGTACGCGGGGCACTGTGTTCCCTATGGCCATGTATGAATTCAAAGCTATAGCCGTGTTAGTCTGTCGAATCAGTATGTAAAGATCTTGTGGCACCTTTGAGACGAACACTAAAGGAAGAAGTTGGCAGCATGAGCTTTGCTGGACTAAAGTCTACTTCCTCAGATGCATTGCATAAGGTTTTCTTGGCAGGTTTTTTCAGAAGGGGGTTGCCATGGTCATCCTCTGAGGCTGAGAGAGTGTGACTTGCATTACCATCGTGGTAGAATTCAAAGCAACAGCCGTGTTAGTCTGTCGAATCAGTATGTAGAAAGATCTTGTAGCACCTTTGAGACTAACTGAAAGAAAGAAGTTGGCAGCATGAGCTTTGCTGGACTAAAGTCTACTTCCTCAGATGCATTTGTATAGACACATACATATGTATGGATGTGAGAGCTGGACAGCGAAGAAAGATGATAGGAAGAAACCTCCCTGGAAGCCAAGATGACCAAACTGAGGCTGTCATACTTCGGACACATCATGAGAAGGAAGGACTCATTAGAAAAGACAATAATGCTGGGAAAGGTGGGGGGAAGTAGGAAGAGAGGAAGGCCACATGCCAGAATGATGGACTCTATTAAGGAGGTCACTGGTATGAGTTTGCAGGAATTAAAACAGAGCAGTGGAGGACTGAGGGTTTTGGAGGTGTCTCTTCCATAGGGTCTCCATGGGTTGAGATTGACTCGAGGGCAGTTAACAACAACAAAATGTGCACGGCTACTCCACGGTCACATGCCTGTTTCAAGTAGTTTCCGGTTTATGGAGACCCTAAGGCGAACCTGGCAGGGGTATATCTTGGCAAGATTTCTTCTGGGGGAGGGGGTGTTGTGCCCTTCCCCTGAGGCTGAGAGTATGTGACTTGCACTACCATAGAGTGATAGAATTCAAAGATATAGCCATGTTAGTCTGTAGAATACTATGTAGAGAAATCTCGTGGCACCTTTGAGACTAACGGCCTTTGCAGACTGCCAGAAATAGTGCACATTAAATTG